AACACGTCACGCAACTTCTTGTTGCGCACAAAAATCCTGTTGCTGAATGTCGACCCCGCCGCCAGGCTGCTGTCCTGTCAGTGACACCCATTGTTCATTTCTGGAATCCTGGGATGATCCTTCACAGACAAGGATTTGTATCACTTAAGTTTGTACCCTTAACACAGGGACTTTTGCAAGGTGGATCTGACTACGAGGATAACAGATGCTTTACAGCAGCGAGCATCACCTGTGCAGCAAGATATGGCGCTTCCAAATGCGCTTGCTCAAGGTGGTAGCCGAGAGTAATTCCATCAGCTGTAACTCCAGAGTTGTGGCCGCAGCCAAACCCACCAGGGCCAGAGTCATAGTCCAGAAACTGCAGCTCAATAAAATTCAGAGTAGCACTCTGAAAGACAGAGCGCAGGTCCATCCACCGGCGCAGAATATCCACACCCACTCCAGCATACCTGATTGCACAGTCACACTGAGAGAGCAGCTTAAACTTACCCTTACATCACAAGGCTTGTCCAGCACTTCACAGCACGAATGGCATGAACAGCAAATCCTGGCGGTGGGGTGCACCTCTGCAGGGTGTCACGCCAGAAAGTGAACCAAGGAGCGCCCCCAACAGATGTCTTGGCTGCCCAGTCATACAGCAGCTCATACCCGAAGGCATGTCTTGCTGACTGCCGCAGCATGGCATGCTCCTTGCCATCTGCGGTCAGCTTTCCAGAGCACTGTGGTGTTCCACAGCGCATGACGGGGAATGATGTCTCCACAGCGGCTGCCAGCAGAAAAACCGTGCATCTCTCAAGAAGCACGTCATCTGCATGCCAGTCACACCGCCCACACATGGGACAGGATGCCATCGTGTCTGGACAACACTCAGCAGGCACACTTGCCCTGCCCGCGCAGCGCTCTGCAAAATACATGCAAACGGTGTCACCTCCAGGAAAATCTGCCTAGCACTGCCACAAGCTACTGTGGGCTATGCTGGATTTGAACCAGCGACCTCACCCTTGTCAGGGTGCGCTCTATCAGCTGAGCTAATAGCCCAAGTTATGTGCACACCTGTGATGATGGTGAGAACAGCTTCATCGTCCTCAGACTCTTCTGGGATCTGCTGCTGAGATATGCATGTCAGCCGGAATTGCCCGTTCTCAGTATCCAAGTTCTGCCAAGCCAGTCAGAAATGTCCTCAAGCAAGCTGATGAATGAAAGCAGGCTTACATGCGAGGAGCAAAGATACATACACAAGAGCCAGCGCAATTCTGTCACCTCGTTGATCTTGCGCTCGAATGCCTCAGTGGACAGCCACTCAGCAGCCTCACCATCACCTTCCTCTGATCCTTGAGTCCTCAGTACATGACGGCACTTAGTGCGCTGAGATGGGCATGTTTGGCACTTCTGTCCCTTCACCACCCCCCAATCCCCGAAGCAGTCGCCAGCGCGCACTATAGAGAACCTCTGGCCTCTGCTGTCATGCATGATTGCCTGCTGCTGTGCTGCTGAGTCTGGAACCTGAGCCTGCTGCATCTCCCTTTTCAATGCTTCTGGGCCGCCGACTGCCAGAAGGAGAGCTTTTGCACATGTGCAGAGCGTGGCCTGATCCCCAAAGAGAGCTGCTGCTGGGCAATTTGCAAAGTCTGCCAGCTCATATAGTCTGCCATCGTCTGCTGGGTCCGGACAAGATGGATTCCTGCAGAAGCTGACCAGGTGGTGTTCACCCCCAGCGACTTTCACGAAGCGCAATGCAAGAAAACCATACTGCAAGGCTTCAAGGGACCTGCTCTCCAGATCATATTGTGGTGTCAAGAAGTGGGCTTCTCTGCTATCCTGGCTCTTGGTGAGCAGTAGACAATCTTCCCTGTTGCTAAAAATGGAGCTGAGAGATGAAGTGGCATTCTCGTAGCTGATATCCTCAAGATAGTCTCCATGATCGTCATCTGATCTGTCCTGGTTATCTTGCGCTGCTTTAGCTGGCTGTTGCTCTTCGGGCTGGAAGTTGTACCTATCGTCTAGAACAAAAGACTGAAAGGTATAGCGCGGCCTCTGGGACCTTCTGGGCATTTTTAGAGGGTGCTGCGAAAGGCGGATGCGTATAATCTACAAGCCTGTGCAGGCGTGCTGAACTGTATGACGAGTGCAAAGGCCAGTCGAGTCGCAAAGAGATGGACTAAGTGCTCGTCCTGTGTGGTTACATCACGCAATGCACGCAAAAATCGAGAAATGCGACTTGCAAATTTCCGAGCACGGTGCTCCATATTACGATTACTTTACACACCCTCCGGACCCCACCGTAGGGCGTTTTACGGTAGGTTTCTAACTGCTCTAAAGACTAATGAATGGGTGGGAATTTCATTTGACTTGAGCTTCTTGTAGAAATTTGAGGTGCTGCCTATCGTATCTACTGCCCATGTTCTGGTGGCCCTGGGAGGTCACTGTACAGCTTTTGAGATACATGTAATTCAAAGCCCAGACTCAAAGCTCCAAAAAAGCCAGACGTGCCCACGTGCCTCCTATATCGCCCTGTATTGAGCTCCATCCTATATCATGCACCCCCCAAATGCATACCCCCGAAATTGCCCTGATTTCTACCTATGCTCCATCTTGATAAATTTCTGATGCGTGTATATATACGTAGACTTTATACTCTAGACTCTGTCGGATCCGGACATCCGCATACGCATGGCTCTTATAAGGTATGCTCCTCCGAGGGTCACTATGCAGAGTTTGAGGTGCTGTCCATACATGTACAGTCATAAAAGCTTGCCATCCATGGTATACGTGGGCAGTTGTGTGCAGCTAATAGCTATCCGCATGCGATTTACCCAGAATAAATTCAAAAGGAAAATGATATGTATGGTTTGCACAAATGTCCAGACGCTGCTGCACGGCACGCATGGCAGCGTGAAATTATAAAAAGTTGTATTGATAAACCGGAGAAGCAGGCTCAAAGTCGATGTCATCATTCACTTCTGGGTAATGCACAACATCCTGCAGATCAGGGTCTCCCTCCTCGACAACATTGTCATCCTGATCGAAAGCCTCCCAGCCAGGGATGGGCGGTCGCACATCCTTGTCTAGCTTCTCTACCACTGCCTTTCCGGCCGCCGAAAGGCATGCCAAGCAACCCCCACAGCAGCATGCGAATTCCTGGTCCACGGGATACCAGAATCTTGACTTCCCGCCTGCTTCCTGCTGGGATCCCCATGCAATGCCGATTCTGCGTAATGCGGCACAGAGCTCCACCAGCCAGGTATTGCGAAGAGTCCTGAAGGAGGCCTCAAACTTGGGCACGGCCGACACGAAGGAGTCCACATCATGGAAGCGCAGGAGCAGCTCATCTGTGACATCAAACACCACTTCTTCCCAACAGGGCGCCAGCGGCAATTGAATGTGGATTGACAGGCCGGCAACCGCAAATTTCTGCAGATGACGAAAGCCTTGCACATTCAGCTTGCTCAAGGAGGACCCAGAAAGGTATCTCCTCATTGTGATGCCCACCTTGCAAACACTGGGCACCGGCAGCACACAGTTGGCTAGAAATGTTGCAGCGGCTTCTGCAAGATCAGCATACAAGACCCCACAAATGCTGCGAACGTTACAAAGCACTTCTCCCCAAACCCCTGCTGCCATGTCCAGACTGGCGAACTCTAGTAGGTGCAGGTGGCATGAAGCAGGAAGCTGCAACGCATGAGGCATGGCATTGCTCAGCACCAGCACTTCCAGCTTGGGTAGCTCATTCAGGATCAGAGCGCCCAGATCCACTGCATGCTTGCGCGACTTGCTCAAGTGAAGAGTCTGCAAAGCACTGGCGCTCTGTAGAGCAGTGCAAATATTCCCTGTATTTCCCCTAACAAACTCGAGGACCAGGTGCTTCAAATTTGCCAGCCGAGGGAACCATGGGATTCTGCCGAAGGAAGCGCCTAAGAGTTTGAGCCCAGCGCAGTGCGTTAGCAGCCACGGTAAGCAGGACGCTGAACTGCTGCGCGAAATTACGTGGAGCTGCTGCATGTGACTAATGTCCCGGCCAGAGTGAGCAACAGCATCTGCAACCATGTCGAGGCCATCTGCTGGGACAGTCAGGGCCTCTAGCATATCCAGCCTCTTGCAGGCCCATTCTATTCCTGCACATCACCACCGCCAAAGTCAAGCACCTTCTGCTTACTACCATCAGCAATTTAGAAAACACAGTCTTCTGATCGGAGCACAGACCAACTCACCTGCTCTGGGAAGGCCTATGGGAATGTTGACAATTCGCAAGCGCACAGCCATCGTGGAGCGACATGCTCCTGATGCCTTCGCCCAATCTCGCATTGAAAGATAGGTCGCGATCTTGGCTCATACTTCCACTGGTAAGTCTCCATTCATATATCTTGGCCCTCGTGCGCTCATCCTGCGTCCACATGCTTTAGATTTTACGAGGATCAAACAGATTTGACGTTGAGAGAGGAAGGTGATCACTGCTCAGTAATTGGATTTACAGAGCAATGGAAGTCGAACCTGGTGTGAAGAACGGGGACTTCGCTTCAATTTCTGATCGCTTATACTTCTGTATCTCAGCGATCAACTCCAATTCTAAATCAACAATGATTTGGAAATCAGTGAGAGTGTCATTGAGAACAACTCAGAACACCGCGCGGGAATCCATGACTTTGCCCATCGGGCAGCGTTGGGCAGGACAGGGCTTCCCAACTGGATCCTGTGGCTGGCCCATTGCTGAGTGTCAGCCTCAATATAGACCCCACATCACATTATCGCAAACAAAATTCTAATGATGCATGTGGTGCGTACAGGTCAGAGGGTGTTTGCCCGCATGCATGTGGCAGCCATTGGCGCCTGCCAGGCACCTGCCAGCAGCCGTGGCGCAAGTGCAATCTCTTAAAAGTACCTGCCCTGTCTGCAGCCTGGCATGCATATGCACCCATACTGGGAAATGGTACATGATCAGGAGAGGCCACTAAACTCAGGCCAGCCAAGACCTCACAGTGTCAGGCCCACCACCACGAATCACTCTAATTGTAGTAATACTCATCGTCACTGTCACGGACGCCATATGCATAGTGATTGCCATGGCCCCACATTCCGTCTTCTTCATCTTCGTCATAGTCATAGTCCTCTCCTTCATCCTCTCCTTCCGCAGACTCATCTTCATACACACTGGGACCGGTGTTGTATTGAATGTCGCCCTCTAACACAGAATTGACACATGGAGCAACAGCCTGTCCTGCCGCCACAAGACAGTCCAGGCAAGCACCACACCAGCACTTTGCCGGGTATTCCCCCGCAGGAAACCATAACTTGTAATTGCCCTTTGCATCTCGTTCTGTGGAAGCCCAGGAGATGCCCTGTGCAGTCAGAGTTGCGCGCAAGTCTGCCAGCCAAGTGCTGCGCATGGATTTGAAGGTTGCTCCGAACTTTCGGACTGTCCTGACAAACTTGGTCACGTCCTCAAACTCCAGGGCGATCTTGCCGCCCTCGAAAATAGCAACCTCCCACTTAATGTTGGCGGGCAGATAGAGAACAACATCCCCTCCATCAAACAAGACTCTTCCCAGGTGTTCTATGCCTTGCAGCATGTCCTTCCGCATGTCCTCGTACCGACACTCTGAGTACAGCATTATCTTCATAGCACTGACATTTTTTGCCGGGCGTAGCTGCCTGTTGAGTAAGTTATCCATGGAACTGCGGCCGTACTGCCATATCAAGTACCCACGGACACCGCGCATGTTTGGGAGTGACCCCTTCCACACATCCTTGGTTATGTCAAAATTTCCTATGTCACTGAGATGCATGCGGCATTCTTTTGGAATGCGCAGCACTTCAGGCTCGATCCCCTTCAGAGCAAACGCTTCCAGATGCACGAGCTTATCCAAAATTATATGGGACTTTGTAAGCGAGCTTAGCTTCCTGCCACTCAAGCAAAGAGTTTGCAGTGCTGCGGCGCTGGTCAGCGCGCTGCACACGTTGCCAGCATCCGCCGTGGAAAAGTCTAGGACAATATGCTTCAGGGATTTCAACATTGGTGGGAACCACAGTTTGACACTCACAGAGGCCACCAGGATGGTGAGCTTGGTGGCTCGATTGAGCAGCCACAGCAGGCAGCATGTGTCAGCAGAGCATGTGACTTCTGTGCAGAGCTGCTGCAACTGCTCGATGCTGTGCGTGCCCTGGGCGACAGCACCTGCAACCTTGTCAGAGCTGGATGCAGTCAGCGAAAGGACCTCTGCTGTGTCGAGCATCTTGATGGCCCAAAAAATACCTGCAGAGCAGCAGCATCCCATTGAGAAAGACATTCGCTGCAGGGATCGATTCGAGCAAGGATCAAGCAAATAGAAGAGTCTTTGCAAGAGTGAGCTGCGGTACAGCACAGCTTGCACCTTTTTCAGGGAGACCTCTTGAAAAATCGAGGTTTCGCAAACGAACACGTCTTGTGGAGCGGCAGATTCCTGACGCTTTAGCCCATTGTTTCAGGGACAGATAGCTTGCAATGTTGGCCCAGACTTCCACAGGCAGATCCCCACTCTTGAGAGTTCCATTAATTTTTGGCTCACGAGATGTCATCCTGCGTGCATATGGTAATTGTCGTTGAAAGAACGGAGAAAGAATGATGCACTCAATTGATCTGATCAGCATCTGAGAGCTGATGTCATGAGAGTACAGTACAATTCGGGCACCTTGCGTGCTTTCAGCTCTCCAGTCAGGACCTTTCTGCGATGTGTGTAGCACTTCTGGGCATTCTCTGACGCTCTGACGGTCACTCTGTTGACCGCCAATTTCATGGAATGGGCAGTGGGCAGCCCGATCTTGGGCAGGGCTGCCCACTGCCCTGCCAGGCAGTGGGCAGCTCAAGCATTTAAACCTCAAATGGCTATGAGCGATGAGAAGCGCAATATCATCATGATCTCAGGCTGCTATGGCTCAACAATTTACATGGTTCTACACGAATAAAGCTGCAGAGAATAAGTGGCCACCGGCGGCAAGCAGCATGCTTGCCAATATCCCGAGCAGTGATCTCACATGCTACCCTCAGGGCCCTTGCCGGAGCATCAGCAAAGTGAGGAATAGAGGAAGTAACGGAGGCTGCCTGCAGCTGGGAACTTTACATCAATAAGGCTCATAGAGCGCACTTGCGGCTCCATCTAGCCTTTTGGCATGTCCCGCCGCCAATAAACAATCCATGCATGCTCCACAGGAACACCACACATTGCCTGGAACTCGTGAGTACCTGAATCTGAACCTCTTCGGACCTACCTTTTCCTTGGTCCATGGAATGCCACGCTTAACTAATGTCTCACACAAATCTACCATCCACCCACCAATGCTACACTCATCATCCATGGCTGCAGAAAAGCTAGGACAAGAAATGGGAAACTCATAGGCATCTTCAATTTGAAAGTCAAGTGTTGAGGCCTCAATCCTAAGGACATCCCAAGAAGAGCCAGCAGGCACGTCAAACTTCAGTGAGGTCCCTTCAAAACAGAGTTTCCTGAAATGCTGAAAACTGCCAAGATTTATGCGTTCGCCACTGATGGCCTCCGATATATGCAATGTCAACATATTCAACATCAGAGAAGGACAATGAAGAGCAAGGAAATTTGCTACAGTCAATCCAGCCTCCCTAAGGGGATTATCAGTATAATAATTGCTAACAATCACGCCGATATTGCGGATACGTGCATGGTTTTCCCGGGTAGCTTGCTGATCACAAAAGTTATGCAGATATATATTATAAACATGGAGGCAACAGCTGGCTGGAATTTTCATCCGATCTGGTCTGACGCCTCTCAAGACTACCTGAGACAGGCTCCGAAGCCTGTCCAGCTCCAAAGCTTTGATACGGCAATCGTTTCCACATGGTATCGAACCCAACTTTAAATTTACGCTCAAAGAAAGAGTCTCCAGAGCTGTAGCGCTCAACAAAGCATTGTGTAGATTATTACTTCCCTCTTTTGGCAGGACTAAAATGATGTATTTGAGATTGCACATGGGTGGAAACCACAGAAAACACCTCCCACCCAAATACATGCTCAAGAGACTTAATTGTGTTGCTTGGGTTAATAGCCAGGGCAGGCAATCAGCCTTAGACCAGCCATGAGCGTTGGCGGACGCAGCGCGCATATGAAACTGCCTCAACCCAGCAAGGCTGCAAGACTTTTGTGCAACTGCATCTGCAAGATCATCGGCCAGTTCTGCAGGCAACGCCAGTGTTTCCGCCCCGTCTATCATCTTGAAGACCCTCTTGATGCCGGCGCCTGTGCCAGGGAGTTGTCTTTAGTACCCCCATGTGCAGAACCGCATGGAATCAAGTCTGATCTCAGCAGGTGGTCTGACTGAGTAGCCCGCCCAAACTAGAGGAGAACTTGACAATCTGGAGCCAGCCTTATGGCCTGCCTAATTCCAAATTGAGCTGCAGAAAGAGGGACTGGGGATCTCGAAAGAACGCCGTTAACAGCAAATTCTCAGTCGGATAAAGAGTAGGGACTATGATTTTCCAGCAACTGCCTATTGTTCGGACTCTAATTCCCACTTACTGTACATTCAGTATAGTCCTCATACTTAGTGGTCCCTGAATGCAGAGATCAGCATACCAAAGCAAAGGAGCACTGCTGCCACTGCTGGCATCAGCTTAATATGGCTGCCCGAGGCTTGATGTGAAAATCACTTTGGCCGAAATTTGATAATAATTGTGAGTATGCAGCAAGTGCCACTGAAAACAAGGAAGCATAAGAGGATCACCATCTGCTGTGAGGCTATTAGGCAGGTTTGCGGCTGTCAATCTGACGGCGTCTGTCGTTCGGCAGGTACCTGACGCCATTGCCCAGTGCTCCATAGACATGAAGCTGGCAATCTTCGTCCAGACTTCTTCTGGAAGTTGTGGATACAGGTGCTGGCCCTCGACCATCTCGGCCGTCGACCTAAATATTCACAAAACCTCCCATTAACAGCCAAGAAGGTCACTTGTTATTCCTGGTCGGTCGCACTCTATTGTGTTCTATTTGGCTTCAAATTCGGCTTTTAAAAGGGAAGTTTCCCAAACGATACATTGCATTCTATTAAATTTCTTCACAGGGAACTTGCACTCTAATCCCCCTGATATGACGTCTCTGCGAACAAGCTTCAGCTCCATCATGGAGATGATCGTACGTTTTAGGTTGCTTCTTCTTTCTCGACCCCATAGCAGTTAAGCCGCTCCAGCTTGCTATACCACGGTATTAAGAAGCTTTGGAAGTCAACAAAGGATTTCCCTTGAGAACTTTCCTCTGGCGGCCCGCAGATGTCACGGAAGATTCCATGTCCAGGGGGATAATGAGGGAACATCTTCTCCAAATAGGTTGCCAACAGAGCCAGTCTCTCCACATTTTAATTCAGATCAGCAGCAGAATAAGAAGGCCACCAGGAACCTCGTCCAGATGGAGCCTTGTATCGGAGTCCGCCAAGGCTTTGCTATCTTGCTCATCGTCGCTCTTCTACCTACGCCCATCTCTGGTGCAGACATCGTAAGTACACCTGACCCTGACGTGCCAGGAGGTCTTTGCAACGCAAGCAGCTCAATGTTATCGTAGATTGCTCCAAAGTTATATAGGACATGACACCAATCTGGCATTGGAACTTTCGCCGGCGCCACTTGGCGCCAGATCACTCATGGCAAGCAATCAACTTGTGGGTTTCTGTATATGCTGAGCGCGGCCACGTATTGACACAACGACGCTTGACTTACAATAAAAACGGCTTGGGTTTATCATACTGTCTGCTTTTCTACTAATAATCTTCATGAATAGATGCACAGGGATGACTGCTGGGCGGATCAACAGCAGGTCTAAGTGACTGTCTTCGATGTTGCAGGGCAAAGACGCTGCGGCCGCTCCTAAAGGAGCAGCAGAGAACTCTTACAGTGCCGCCTTGCTTTCAGGAGGCCCCTTTGCAGGTGCGGCGCATCCCCTCCTGCATACGGCTTCCCTGTTGGAGTCGCTTGTCCCTGATGCCGTGTCTCTGCGAAGTGCAGCAATATTCGGATTCGATTCGCATGACCTCCGTAATAGGGAAACCGCTTGAAGTGAACAGTGCCAGGACGTCTTGTAAGCGAGTGATTTGGCGTTGAAGGAGGCAGCTTCCGTGTGCCCTGCAGTTGAGGAGATCCCACCTGCTTCTCCCACCGGGGCACCAGCGCTTGCCCCTCTTCAGGCGGTCCCAGGAGATGCTGATGTCATCAGGCTGCCTGCCACAGACCCTGTCCTTGCTGACAACGGCGGCAACAGGCGCCTGCTGCAAGGGCCGCGCGGCGCAGGTGTGCTTCTTTCTTGAGCTCTTGCTTTAGGCAGTTTTCACGGCAAAAATTGCAGATGTGCGCTGCTATTTTTGCTCTACTCCACAAGGAAACATTAAGTCACACGCAGGGCACTGCCTGTGTCTGCCCTGAGGGCAGCTGTTCAGACTGCCGGGAAGAGTGTGTTGCTCCTTGGATTGCCGATTGGATGCTTTCACTGTTGTGACATTCTTTGCAAATGTTTGCCTGGAGCTCCTTCGCTTCCCATCTGCTCTATCCAGGGTGCCAGAGCTATTACCCAAGCTCCTGTGCACTGTGGTGCTATTCATGAGGGATAATCAGTAAGGACTCAGCAGGGATACTACCTGCCTTTCTTACCAGAGGCAAAGGTGGGTCTGTAGACAAGCTGCCGGAGTGCACTCAATGTAAGTCCTGAAAGATATGGAGCCAGTCGCTGTGCTGAATGTGTGGTGTTGCTGTGCAGCTCCTGCACCCAGTTTGGCAGCAGTAGCGCCAGCCGAGGCAGGAATAGCCAAAGAGGCACCCATCATTGCATCATCAAAGTTGGTGTGGCCGTCCTTCGAGCAGATGCTGGCACCTGCCGAGTCAGCGCCCGCTGAGTCAGCCCCCACCCCTGCTGCCAAGCTTGCAGGCCACTCGCTGCGCAGCCTCAAGGTAGTTTCTGTCGCCTCCCAGGACTCATTGCTGAGCTGGCAAACGGATGTAATATGATAGTCTCACTTCGAGGCATGCAGGAGACTACACACTATGGGCAATTGCCTAAATGACTCCTTTGTGCTGGCATTTACCTGCTCCTGTCTGAATGGTTGTGACTCTCTTTCTATGAATGGTCAGTCACAAACGCTAAGGAGCGATATCAAGTGAAGACATGATGATTCAAAGCCATCAAGTGCAAAAGTAAAGCGCTTCTGAGTGTAATGTCACATTATTGCAGATGATCCCCATCATCTACGCCAAGCCATACGCGCGTGCTGCCGCGCCGGCCGCGCGCCTTGCCGTCCCGGCCCCGGCCCCGGCCGTCAAGCCGGCCGCGCCCAAGCGTGCGCATGCTCCGGCACTCCGCACTGTCTCCAACCCTCCAAAGCTGACGGCCGCCCGTCATGCGGCTGCGCCCTCACCGGCCGTCGCCCCGGCTGTAAAGCGCGCTGCCGCGGCGGCCGCGCGCGCCGTTCAGCCGTCAAAGACCGCCGTCTCCGGCCGGGCCGCACCGGCCGCGCCTGCGCAGCGGCTGCCGTTGGAGGAGCCTCGTGAGGGCGCCGATAATAGGCGCCGCCTGCTGAGCAATGGTGCAATCCCCCAGCTGGACCAGGTGTACTGGCTCGATGGCGCAGACACGGAGGCTCGCGAAGTGGCTGCCCAGAGACTCTGGGCAAGCCCAGCTTACCGCGCACTGCAGCAGCCGTCCTGGCCTACTAGTGCAGACGCCCCAGCCAGTGATAACTCTCCTGCCGGCCCATTGCCCGCGCCGCCCTCCCCACTGCTGCCCACCCCACAACAGCCTCTGGAGCCCTCCAAGCCAGATGCAGCGTCCATGCGCCGCATGCAGGAGCATGCGTCCCCTCTGGAGCAGGGGTACTTGCCGGAGCCACTGTTCCACTCCACTGCAGACAAGGCGGAGGCTGCACATGCCAGCAAGACTATGGGTGTCTCTGTGGATGCCCTCAGGCGCCGGCCACTGCAGATGGTGCGATCTTCATCTGCAAGCGTGACCAGCTCAGACACTTGCTTGCTTGCTTTTGATGCTTTTGCAGTCCATTGTCCTGCATCCCCTATGTTGTTGCAACAGACCTTCCCCAAAAGGCATAGTTGTTGGGCCTGCATTACAGGTGTGGCAAGCACAGTGTGTTGTTCTTCAAGATTGATATGCGCGGCCTATGATCAGACACCCTTCTTTATACGTCGGTGGTCAGCCTTCCTAGCAGCTAGCTCTGCAACCAAGCCTTTAAGAGACTCTTTGTAGCTCAACTCAACTGACACAGGCATCTGCTTCTTATTTTGTAGGTGGTCCTGGATCCAGTTGAGAATGGCGACCCGGACGTCATTAATTTGCTGAACATGCTGGGAGTACCATTGTCTGCTGAGCTGACAGCAGCCACCAGGCCCATCGCAGAAGGAAAGGAGGCTCCCGGGCCGAAGCCTGCGCGCACAGCCTGAACACCTGTACATTATAATATGCTGCCCAGTTGAAGGCAATGAAACAGGTAGCTGGAACGTTGAAGCTGGAGTTGGCACAGTTTGAGGGTATAATATTATGTTTATGGTTGGGAAGGGTGAACCCTAATACTCAACTAAATGAATAAAAGTTGGTGAACTGAAAGAAATAAAATCAAGTCCCGTTGTAGAAGGGTTCCGTTTCTGAAAGTACTTGGTCGAGGTGTTGGGTTTGAGTGGCATCAGAAGACAGAGCTGTGCCGGTTCTGAGAGGGTCAAGCATAAGTATATTTCATTGGAACTCTGCAGTAACGGGTTGAGAATGTTTTCTCAAAAGACAGCTGTTCTGCAATCATAATTCGCATGCCGCAGTGTGAAAAAACGCCTGTAAGACTACTGAGGCTCACGTGTCAAAACACATGTGCACCAAAACACCTGTACAGGGTGACTTTGCGGCATACACTGATAATGCAGTGCACAAACACCTCATCAGGTCTGTTGCAGTGGAATGAGATGGCAGGATGCAATCTGGTTGCACCTTCCTGAGCAAGTGACTTACACTACTATGGACGTTGAAAGAGCCAATGCATGTCCTTTTGCACTGAAGTCTGGCAGCCACGAACCTTTTGCACAGCCATAAGTTGCAGGAAAGCAAAGTGCAGATACTTGGAGTTGCTCCACAGTTTCAAACTCTAGATCCAAGGTTCCTGAGGCATCAAACATCAGTAATTTTCACAAGGCATCACCAGATATGGTAAAGCGAGTCTTGTCCCCAATGGAAGACATTCTCTTGCACCGGTTGAACCCTTATTAATGAACCTCAGCATCCGTATTCACATACAGAGTCAACATCATCATTGCACGCGTTGACAACAGTGGCCCTAAGAATTTTGATATGCAGGCCAGTGCCATGGCGTTCATAGAAACTCACTCCCAGACTGCAAATCTTGGAGTACCATAGTTGCACGACACTTGACACGCGTGTCAGGTGTCGGAGTGTCGCGGACGTTCGCAAACGCGTGTCCAAATTTTGGCCATTTCCGACACCGCTCCGACACCGGGTTACGTAAGGGTTACGTTTGACCGTTTCTGACCGTTTTTGGCCGCTTGGACGCCGGGAAATGACCCAACAACACCCCAAACACATATAACATGCTTGTAAAGGTGTTTAGAGACAACTCCGATGTGTTTTGATGCGTTGTCGGGTCCGGAAACAGCTTTTTGAGGTTCCGTCAGCCTTAGTAACCATTAGTCATCACCCGGTTGCATGGTTACTAACGTCCTCAGGTCTGGACACGCGTGTCGCGGTGTCGCGGTGTCGCGAACGTTCGCAAACGCGTGTCCAAATTTTGACCAGCCGTGTCGTGCAACTATGTGGAGTACATGCTCTGCCAAGGGTTGCTCCTCAAATAATTAGAATCGTGGTGTACATGCAGCGAGCATGCTGAAGGCAAAGTGATCCTCTCTGGCTTCACTAACTTCAAAACAACCATCACGTAATTCCCGAAGCTTACTGAGATCGAGCGGCCCAAGAACTTCAAAGGTTCACCTGACTGGAGCGTAGCATTTGCGCAGGACCCCGGCCTCCACCTCCAGAGATGGCCGCTCAACAGAGACCTGCTGATAGGTCCCCTTGAACACAAATGTACAAGACTGTGGCTTTGGGCAGGACTCTGAGGATGTCTCCACTGGCGTGGTATCCATCCAGAGTGACATGCCTCAAATTGGCCATCGGCGGCAGCCAATTCTCTTGTCCACAAATGCCTTCGGGACAGCCTCAGCTGAGCGGCAGACAGTAGCAGCCATGACAAGCAAGATCGCGAGGCATACTCGCCGTACCGGTTGCTTGGGGCCCTGATGTGCATTGTAGCAAAGCACCCAAGTTGCACGACTGATGGACAATAGCATCGGCCAGGTTGTCCATCAGGTCTGTTGGAAAGGCCAGCAGCACAAGTGCCCCAGTCAGCTTCTTGCAAACCCATTTCAAGCCTGCAACGTCCGCGCAGTGTCTCAGGTCTGAGATATTCACAGCGGAGAAGCACATCACATCAAATGGAACTAGCTGCGCACTGCGCACTGGCAAGCATGAGCTTTTCACGGCGGCAAAGCACATGTATATATACTCAAAATGCAACTAGCTGCGGACTGCGTGCTGGCAAGTGTGAGATACTATTGGGAATGGCTGCACACCGAACACCGGCAAGCATGAAATGTTTCACGGCGGCAGAGCACATAAACTCAGACTGGAAATAGCTGCGTGCTCCGTACTGGCAGTTTAGGAGGCGGACCTTCTTCAAGAACGTCATCAAGCATATTCACCGCCCTCACACGGACTGATACCGTTGTGCGGCAGGTGCCTGAAGCCATTGCCCAGTGGCGCAGAGACATGTGGTCAGCAACTATGTTCCGGCCAAACTTCCTCTGGTAGCTGGTGGCTCGCATGCATATCCTCCCTTTCCCACTGGGATATGCGCAATACAGCACATGTTGCTGTCCAGTCTGGGATGGACCTGCTGCTTGCATCGACGAAAACAAAGGATGAGAACACGCAAAGTTGGAACAGGGGTTCTTTCACTGCATCCTGGTGGACTCCACAGCTTGTATCATAGAATAGAAGTACTTCTAGTCGACAACAGCCTTCCTGAGGACGAGCGCACCTTGTCGGGATAGACATCCTCCTGGAGGCCTTATCGTAGAGGATCCTTGGGATGCTCGCAATAGGGCTGAAATTTTGCTTTTCCGATAAAAACAACGAGACACGTGGAAAGGTGGCGGCCGCAGCTGTCGGGCAGGTTCCAACTCCAGGGGGGTGATGAGGAAACATTTTCGCCAAACCCGGCGAGCAACAGAACAAGTGGCAGAATCACATCACCAGGTACCTGGCGAGTATCAAGTAGCTGAATCAATCATGGAAGCTTTCACCGACGTCCGCCGCATCCTGCTCATCGCCGGTCTTCTGTCGACTGCGATCTCTGCTGCAGCCATCGTAAGTACACTCTTTCTTGTTGATCGCTTCGATCTTTTATGCCTCTCAGATGTTCATTGATGCAATATAATATATTTTCCGAGGACAGCTGCACTGCACATCGTGTTACATTCTCTTCAGTACATTGCGGCTCTTCGCCATCCTGTTGTGGCAGATAAGCCTGGGTTACTTCCTTATTTGCGTGGCAACTGCTAGCATTGACCGCTTCAAATGCTTGCATAAAACCCCTATTGTCCATGCTGCAGGGCGAAGAGAGGGCGGCTGTGTCGGGCGGTCCCAACTGGATCCGTGAAACATTCGCCGAGCGACCTGAGGAAGTGCCGGATCATCCAGAACTGGAACAACTGTCTCCCTCAGACCAGAAGGAACAGCCTTCCAGCGCAGAAGCTTTCAATGTGGACGGCCCCAGAAAGAGCTACTTCCAGTGGGCGCTGACAGACCTGCCGGTGTATGCAAAGGCAGAGGCCGGGGAGAGAGTGCACCGCCAAGCTTCATCCGCTGCAAAAGGTGGGTATCCCGTTGCCTGAACTACATCTATACTCTACTCTTCTGCTCTTGCCTTCCGCTGGGAATAGCAACTGCTCAGGGTTCTACTTTAATGCCCTTTCAAAGCTGGATCACTGCCAAATTTGCAGACAGCACTAAGGGAATTCCTGGTTCACACAGAGCCAGACCAGGAGGACCGGCCTTCCAGCGAAGAGGCGGATGGCCCCAAAAGGAGCTACTTCCAGTGGGCGCTGATCGGCCCGCCATCAATTAAGTCTGAAGATGCTGGGGAGAAAGTGCACCACCAGCCTTCCTCCACTGCAGACGGTGGGTCACCCTCTTGCCTGAAACACTTTTCCAGAAGCTTGTTCTGCTGCTGCCCTGGTGTAGAGACATCACTGCTCAGACTGCCCTTGGGACAGCTTTGATGTGTCTGCATTGCAAGAGAGGGCAGGGGAGTGTGTACAGCCTGCCAAATCTCAAAATGTCTGGCCAAAAGGCACTTCAGCTGACACTCCTCCTTGCTGGTGGGTTTCACTAGGGACTCATGCAAGGCGCAGAAGACTTTCTTAAAACACATGACTCATTGGGATGAAGCAATTTTGTTGCTTTTTCAGGTGTTGCTAAACCCTTTTGAGAAGGGCGCCCGGAGGAGGTCGATCGGCACAAACTGTCGGGAGCACCGCCGTCTGCTGAGCTGGCAGCAGTAATCACTATAAGCAGGCCGATCCCAGAAGGAATGGAAGCTGCCTGTACGCAGCATGCGCGCACGCACTGACATCATGCCCTTGTATTTGCACTAGTGCACTACCTGGCAGTCTGTGTGCTGGATGCTGTTCAAGAAGAATAATTGAAAGTGTGAATATTTTCCGGTCAGCTGCAGCACAAGAAAACGTTTGCGGAAGGTGTGGGTGCTGTTGTGGTGCCACAGTGTGGAAGGGGAGATACCCGTGCTAGTAAGTCGGCAGAAATTTTTGCCAACAACACTTGGGATCCCTTCACGAGTTTAGCTTAGGCAACTAGGATAGTACGAAAGAGTATTTAGGCCGGGCGAGCTCTCCTGCACGACCCGCTTGGCGCCAGGCTTGGGCAGGGGCAGATCTGAATGGTGCGTTGCAATTCTACTGGTGCTGAAATGCGCGCGGCAATCCAAGCAGGCTCCAAGTGTTTGGGGCCCTTTTAATTTTGTGGCTGCCAAATTGCAGCTGAGATGTGGCTGCAAGGCCATGTGTAATTGAACCAAGCCCTGTGCAAACATCGGAAGGCCTCTCAGCAGAATGTTCCAGCACCTGAGACGCCTGAGTGTTACAGTAGAGTAAGATTGGCAATAAAGCACCCGGCTTACTGCAGCTTAACGCACAGCTGGCCCCGGCTGGCGGGGGGCGGTGAAATTACTGAGCATGGTGCCCACGGATAATTGGGCCTTGCTTGAATCTTGCGCATGCGAGTCTAACAACGGGTAGGACTGTGACAACCTTTGACTGCAGCTTGTCTGCATGACCACGCCTGGCCTCTTGGCTAACAAATTGTGCAATGAAAAAAGCACAGCTTGCCAGTGTAAGATGATCACCTTGAAAGGGGTCTGTAAGACTGGTGCTACTTGGGTGAGCCTTCGGGTCAAAGCCGGCACAGCATATCGGAGGTCAGATGAGGAAATATTTGTGGACACTACCGTCCAGCAGGTGCTGTGTGCCCACGCCTAGACAGTTACATATTCTGCGGCAAAGAGGAAAGAGTCTTCATTCAGACGTTTGTTGGTGTGTCTATGGTCACTGTATCATACGTCACCGGTGGGTACTAAACGAGCGTGAACAGCGGTCTTTGGGTCCAGTGCCAGGGGTTCTGTGTGTTCACAGATGGATGCAAAGCGCACTTTCTGAAAGACATGACGCAAGCAGAGTCTGCCAGCAGAAGCTCCAGATAAGGACGAACGAAATTTTTTCAGATAGACTGCAGGTCGCTGCCCACAAGCTCTGGAACCTTAGCTTCTCCAAAATATTTAGAGTTTTCGGTAAAACAACATTAAGATTGCCACTGTCAATGATCAGCGACAGAAGTAATTTATGCTTGCCTGCTTCTTTTCGGCAAGCTGATGCAAGTACAGGATTGCTGCTGTCAGAACGATGGAACTCTGTCCCCAGAGCTGATTGAAATACAGGTATAACAGTTCGCAACTCCTGAACGCAGCAAAGTCTTGACTCATTAAAATTTAGTCACCAGGTGAATGAAGGGGTTTGCATAAATGGGCATCAACAGGATGCAAAGTGGGAAGCTGACAGAAAAAGAGAATTCCTCATAGTTTTGAAGGAACCTGGGGTTGGAAGTGATCGGGACGCAACGATGGATCTCTTCAAGGCAGCTACACTCCTCTGCCTTCTCTGCGGGCCAGCACCTCTTCTCGCCGGGCGCCTTCTCGTCGTTCCAGAGTCCGTGAGTCCCTCTCAGACCTGCACCGACAACGTCTTGCTCGGGGTTTGTATCAATCCGGTCGATACATCACGTCTCGCTCTTGTGTGCTGCGGATTGACTGCAGCCTTCTGTCCTCTTTGAGCGGCAGTGGGGAAGATCTTTTCCGGTCCCCAGAGAGAAAGGCGGCATCAAGCTTTTCGGCCGATCTGTGTCATATCAACTGCAACATACACCTTCTCGAGGCACCTTTTCACAGTAGCGACAAGGAATCCTTGGCAAGGACAAATCTTGCTGTGAGCGCCCCAGGGCCAGGGCGTGCGTCACGAACGAGCGCACACATCTACAAGGCACAGCTTATTGATTGATCACCTAATGTTTATGCAGGCACCACAGAATGTCGAGTCGACTGAAGGACCAGCCTATTACGCAGAACACGCCTACATCCCAGGTGAGCTGCTGCTTTGAAGCTGTTGAGAAGTGAAAAGATCCCTCTAGAATCTTCAACAGCGCTCTTGCCTCGATACAATGGATTGGTACCAGGACTCTTTCCAACGGAATCTCTTAGCCTTCACCAGGGCCTTGTTGCAATCATAAGTCAGGGTCACATGCCAGACAGTGCAATTGTTTCATATTCTGCTGGTCACCTTGTTGCAGCACATACCTGAATAGAAGGGCACATATTGCTGTCGGTGACATGAGATACAGATATTAAGATTGCGGGTGCTTGCTGCAGGATTCGCTGAGGCTCCAAGAGCCTCAGCACCAGCAGCTGCCGCAGCCGCCGTTGTATCGCTGGGTTCCAAGCCATCACCAGCCACCGCGCGCCAGCTGCAGGGCTGGCGGGACGTCTTCTCTCGTGAGAACCTCCAGGCCATCTATGGCTCTCTGGACAACGCTCCCCCTGCGCTGCTCCCCGACGACCTGATTGCGCCAGAATCGGAAGCATCAATCTTTGCTGCCGCCCCGGCCCCGGATCCGGCCGCCGTGCCAGTTTCCGCGCCGGCCGTCGCTCCAAAAACGGCACCGACAGCTGCGCCTATACCGGCATCAGCAGCTGCACCAAAACGGGCATCGGCAGCTGCGCCAAAGTTGGCTCCCGCCCCGGCACCGGCCCAGCCGCAGGGAATTCTGCCGCCGGTCGACACTGAGCTGCCTTCCGATCTGATGAGCCTGTTCGCTGGCTACCGAGACGGCAGCAGAGCGAGCAAGGCCGGTGCAGGAGCCGGCACGGGCAGGAAACTGCTGCAAGGCTTTGCAGATGTCTTCACGCCCGCCGAGCTGCAAGCAATGTTCGGTCCTCCCGAGGCCGAGGAGGGCCCGGTGGCACGCGCGCATGCGCCAGCAGCCGCCGCCGCGACGGCCGAGCCGGCCCCGGCCGCGCGGAATATCCGCGGCCGGCAGCTGCTGCAGCCGATGAGCCTGGAGGAACAGCTCGTTTGGCGCGCATTGAAGAAGGCTGTCGTCGACACCGAAGCCGAGCAAGCTCAGGTGTGAAACGTCTTTGCATTTGAGAGTGTTTGCTCAGAAAGATTGCTCGATTCCTGTTAAAGGACAGATTGAATGGAGCCATGCACGCGATTTGACTAGCATGGTCCTTTGCACTGTTTTTTGAAATTGATCTGTCTTCTCTGTACACCAATCATCTGTCAGTATCTCAGATGCTGCAACATGAGAGTGTGGTGTCTGCACCAGTGTAGAGCCAGCATTGCAATCAATCCTGATCACATGTATCCCTCATAACACCTAGCTCTTTGGATCGCCAACTATGAGACGACTGTAATACTTAGTCATGGGATATTTCACCAGGCGGACTTTGAGCGCGTGATTGAGGAGATGGCAGTTGCCCCGGGGCCGGCCGCGGATGACTCATCCGATTACTCATACGATGACTCTTCACAGAGCCGCCGCCGGCTGCAGCAGGATCCCAACTCCCCGGACTTCCCCAACAAGCTCTTTGACATGGCCTTCCAGCTCGCGCCCAGCGGCGGCCCTGTGCAGCCGGATGCTGCAGGTGCTATCTTTATTCTCTTGCCTGTTAACTTCCTTTTGTAAGAAAACGTGTCAGTTTTGCATGTCGTTAAACATTAGGCGCGTGCCCGTACTGTTCCTGACAAGTGACTGCTTGAGTCTTTTGAGTGCTGCTTCGGGTGGCCAGTCAAGGTTGTACTTGCCTTTGTGTGACGGGGAAATTAGGTCTGGCTTGTTACAGCAGCCTTACAATAATGCAAATGTCAATTTTCCGGGTGACTCTTGTGAGCAAGAAAGGTTAAAAGGTCTGCAATCTCAGCCCCGGCTGGCGGCGGGCGATATAAACACTGAGCACCGTGCCCACGATTGATTGGGTCTTGCTTGTATCTGGCGAGTCCAACAAGGGGTAGGATTTTTGGCAGCCTTTAACCGCAGCTTGTCTGCAGGACGTATCTTGCCTTTTGGCAGGAGATGCGTGTAATAAGAGTAGTAATAATATTTATAATTATAACTTCAGCCTGGCAATGGTTGCGTGTGCAGGTGCGCCAGAGCGCGCACTGGTGCCGATGGCCATCCCCACGCGCGGCCTGCTGCAGGATGACTCATCGTCTGGCTACGCTGACATGGAAGACCTCGTCAGCCTGCCAGACGTTGTCCTGCCTGTCGATGTGAAGGTATATTTCTTACATTCGTGACACCTAAAAATCCTCACAGTTCCATGCAGCGCAGTGACAGGCTTTCAATGAGGACCGTCAGCTCTGGTTTGATATGAGTTTCCTGAGAGCTTGCTGAACATGGTTTGCAAAGGGGTGCCAAACGCTGGGCGGACCTTTTGCTGGTGTCATGAAGTGCTGTGTGCTGTGTGCTGCAGGACTCATAAACTGTGCAAACGTGTTCTGTGGGTTCATTTCTATCGCTGATGGTTTGCTGAGCACAGCTCACTGAAATTTGCTTGCCTTAGCTGGGGGACCTTTTGCTGGTCTTAAACTTTCAATGCCCCGGCTGGCGGGGGGTGGTATAAATTGAGCACCGTGCCCACGTATGATTGGTCTTATTTGGATCTGGAGAGTCCAACAAGGGGTAGGCTCATGGCCGCATTTACCTGCAGCTGGTCTGCAGGCGCACCTTGCCACTTGGCAGGAATAGCGTGAAATGATAGTAATATTACTAGTAATAATACTTTCAACGTGTGATGCAGGTGAAGAGGCCTGAAGCTGCTGCACCCGCGCCCGCGCCACAGCCGGCCGGTGAAACACTCACAAGTCAGCCCGCTCCCAGCGTGCAGTAGAAAGTAATGGCTCGCACGGCACATGCAAGACCATAGAATCTGCTC